CTTTTACCTTCAATGCATAGTATGCATTGCATTATCTAAAGTATGGAGAAGTATCTTTCTTAATTGTCTTTCTTAATTAATCTTACATTTCTTCCCCTCAAAATGTGGTATGAACTTTTCTACCACAATTTCGAAAAACATTCAGAACTCTTGTTAATGAGGAAACTTTGATTACTTACTTCATCCACATGATTACATCATGCAAACAAAATTCGTATGGGAGTACATTTTCCTCATTACACTTCAAAACTCAACATAGTCTATTATTATCAATACTTCTGCAAGTCACGCTTGCATATCATTCTTATCTTTTGGTTCACATGCAACTTTCTTTTGTTCTTAAACTCATTGAGTACTTAATGACCATGACACAATCAGAGTGTACAGTCAATACTAGGATAGCATAAGAGCTATCCCAAACTTCTCTCCATGTACGGGATACACTTAAAGCACATGAGTCATCATATCCTTCTCCCGCCATGCGGGATAAGTACTATGCCAAACTCTCCCGCCATGCAGGATTGGTTAATATATGTACTATGCCAACTTTACCCCGCCATGCGGGTATTTTCTCAAACTTTTCCCACCATGCGGGTACTATCACAAACTTTTCCCGCCATGCGAGATAATTCCCTTGAACGGACATAATTGCCAGGATTGGCTCGTGTTCAATCATCAAATTTAGAAATAAATCCGAATATACTTTTAACACACATGTTTAATCCAATGTTAGTCAAATTAAACGTGTATATGACTTTTATAACTCTCATAAGTGAAACTTAAAAATAAATTCTTCTTCACAGAGAGTACATAAAAGATATTTCTCAATGAAGACTCTCATTGATCTATCTCTTTTCTTGAATCAATATCCTAGAATGCTTTTCTTTTGAAGCCATTCTTTAAAAGAGAACATAGTCCCTTAAGCAATGGCATTTTTTCATACATAACTTGCCCTTAGGCATTTTATCATCTAAGTCACAAGTACCCAGCTCATTTCTCTTACTGCCTTCAAGAATGAAAACATGAAAGTCTTTTGTCTGAAAAAATATTCAACAATAATGCTCATTAAACTTTGAAATCTTTATGTTCTATTCTATATCACCGTTGGGCAGAAATAGAATAAAACATCATTCTTCTACATTAATTCCACATCACCGTTGGGCAGAAATGGAATTAACATATAGAAATTTAATAATCTTGAAAACATAGAACTGCTCCTCAAAATTAAATTCTCCCGTTGGTTCGAATTTAATTAGAAGACAATCAACTTCATTGCAGCGGAAACATGAAAATACATTTCTCTAGTTTAAGAGCATTCCTTGATCTTTATCTATTCTCTAAAAATTGGTCACTTTGATGCAAAATTCATCAGAGATTTAAACTTTAATCATAAAACTCATAAAATTATAATATTGTTATCATCAACGTTGGTCAGAAAATAACAATACCATAATTTAACTTTAAACTTAAACTCATAAATAAACTTATAATATTGTTATCATCAACGTTGGTAAGAAAATAACAATATTATAATTTATCTTAACTATCAACCGACTATTCCTTCAATTAAAAATTTTCCAGTTGGTTCCAATTTTAACTGGAGGATAAACTTTTCATCATTTACTGAATAACTATAACTACTCTTCAAATTAGAAGACAATAAACCTTTAACTTTGCAGCGGAACTATGAACATAATTGTTGAATTTTACCCACAGGAAAATTCTCTTTTCCAATTTTCTTTGAGCCATTTATCACTGGAAAAATTAGAAAAAGAAAATGGCTTAAACTTTTACTGCGTTGTGGCCCAAACGGCAAAACAGCCCGGCCCAACTCGGCACGCGCGCGCGCAGCCACCTAGGCCGCAACGTGGGCCTGGGCCGGCAAAGCGCCGCGGCGCGCTCGCCCGCCTGGGCCGCTGAGTGGCCCGTTCAATCCCCGCCATCCAATCAAAACCGACGGCTGTCCGACCGTTTCGCCTGATCAAAATCCACCACGGCCGGCCTCCCCCGGAACCCTAAGTTCATTTGCACCCTGGCCTTCTCTCTCTCTCTTCGCCGCTCTCTCTTCTCTCTTCAGTACCGCAGCAGTAGCCACCGAGTGACTCGAGTGGGCGAAACGGCGGAGAGGGCAGCCATGGCGCCTTCGCCGGCGTGCGTACTCCCCAACGGGTGAGCGCGCCGCCGTCGAGTGGCCTGGCCGCGGTGCTTCTTTGGCCGAGCCCGGGCGGACAGCTCCCCCGGTTCAGTCTTCTTCTCTCGTGCCGGCAAAGGGTCTCCCCGGCGCACGGCGAGGTAGACTACTCCTTTCCTTTCTTCCCCATCAGATTTGGTTCTCTTTTGTGTTCGGATTGAACCGATTTGCAGTGTGGGGATCGAAGTTAGGGTTTCATTTTCTCCGAACCGAAGTTTGTTTCTCTTTCTTTTCTTTCTTCTTTTCTTTGCCCCGAGATCTGGTCACGGGTTTAGGGTTCGGATCAAGCAGTCTTGAAGCCGAGCCCCTTCCGTCTTCACCCAGCTAGGGTTAGAGTCTGTTCTTCTTCCCCACGCGCTTCTTCGTTGGGGTAGGGTTCCGGTCCGTTGGATCCGAATTGAGTTCAAACTCCACTCTTTCTTTCCATTCGTTTTTCTTTGCTTTTGATTCGGAAAACCCTAGATCTACACCCTAGGGTGGTGAACTGCTAGGGTTAGGGTTCTTTGTTGAAACCATATTTCAATCTCATCCCCACTTTTCCCGTACCCGATCTAGGGTTAGGGTTCGATTTGCTTTTCTTTCCCCCTATCCAGATCCACATACTAGACAGGGCTCCGATACCATTGTTAGATAGTTTGGATCATCTAGTAGTGGATCCAGTGGATGAGTTCTTTTCTAATTGAATCACATAGACCTAGAGTTTGCTTCGGGAGTAGGAGACAGAGAGAGAGAGGGAGATGTAGGAGCATCTGACCGTTGGAGGAGCTCCCTGCCTTCGCTGGTTCGTCGGTGAAGATATGCGCACGGGCAGCGACGTTTGGTGTAGTTGTGGAGACCGGCGGTGGTGGAGGCAGTGGCGCTTCCCGCCGCTGGCAGTGCCACCCTCTGGATCGGATTAGGGTTAGGACAGTGGGGCTGTGGCGGTGGTGAACCTCGTACCCAGAGCCGTTTGCCCCACATTCTCTTTATAGGCACTGTGCGACGGGGGCCCACTAGCCACTAGATGGCTGGACGTTCCCGATCAGGACGCGGTCAAGGAGTCCGTCTCGACCGTTGGGTCAAGACGGACGAGATCAATTCTAACATTTCTGTGGCATGGTTCCCGTCTCATCAGAGCTGTATATCTGTGGCTTGGTTCCGTCTCGTCAGAGCTGTATTTCTGAACAGTTCGTCTCGGCAGAGCTTGTATTTCTGTGGCATGGTTCCTGTCTCGTCAGAGCTGTATTTCTGAACAGTTAGTGAACAGTTCGTCTTGGCTGTGGCTTGTCGTAAACGATCGTAAATATTTAGCCGGAATAGTATTTTTCTCTCACACAAACCAGCCAGCAGTACTTCTTCACGAACCAGCAACTATACGAACCAGCCAACCGAACATGCCAGTGTGTTCCGGATTGCTTTTGGTCGTATCATTTGTCGCAATGGGATCCAAGGCTGGCTACTCTATACATACATACTGCCCATTGAATCTGGGCAAGTTGGTAATTTCTCTGTCCTGGAATGGAATGAGTGGAAATTAAAGTATATATTACAGGGAATGACCTCCGCAGTTGACTACTGCACTTCCAGGAAGACTCCTGGTCTGAGATAGTTCAGGGACAGTCGATCTAGGCATCTAGCCAGTAAAGCCCCTCTGTTCTCTTCTCTGCCACATTGACATAGCCAGTAAGCACAGGAATTGTTGGAGAAGAACCATTGAAGCAATACATGTCGATCCCAGCCTGTAAGCCAACCACTCTCTCGCTTCGGCCTTCCCACTTTCCTTTGGTCTTTGCAAGTTATCTGATTTTTTTTTCTCCAAGCAAACCACAGGTGGTGAACTAGCGTGCGTTTCTAGCAAGTCATGAATCAGATTCAGATCTGCTGCTCATGGAGCACAGTTACCACTTCGTTCACAGTCAGCACTTGATTGACATATATCAGGCACACAAAAGGTAACCAAACAAGACATCAGTCATACATTACACCTCGTCTTGTATTTGTTTGCTGTTTTACAGTTTCATTATGACTTTGTTTTCTGTTGAAAGTGCACAACTATTTATTTTCGCCAAGTATTCTCTATTTTAACCATTGCGCAGCCCTGGTTGTTATTAATTTGTAGATGGGGTAGTTTGGATTGCTGAGGCGAGCACTGCCCTGGTTACCTAATCCTTAGCAAAATGATTTTCAGAGGACGGGAATGGATTCATCCTCTGGCCTCCTGCGAAGGCCGCACCAAGTGGTGCTTTCAAAAAGGAAAAAGGATTAATCCCCTTTGTTGAAGCAGGTCCTAACTGTCCCGTTTTCATATATTCTGTCTATACATCTCAATAAGGGATCAGTCCATCTTTCCCAAAATTTGATTTCCCTTTTTGTTGTCTAGCAAGCAATTTCTCGTTGCTTGCTCTTGCATTTTTCATGGTCGCTCCTTGCTCTGTTTTCATTCTATGGAGGAGTTTAGAACTCTTATGAATGATTATTATACATCTGGACACGGCATAAACTTTATTTTTTCTTTCTGGTAACTGTGTGAATTTTTTTCCCATAATATATGATTGTTACTCTTACACATAGGATTTTTTTTTGCAACTATCTTTAGTACAAAAATGTCATTTATCTAGAAGTTGCCATTTTTATTCTCTGCAATAATTCTCTGTTTATTCGCTCATTCCTTTGATACTCTTATATTGATTCACTCAAAACAGCTCGTATCAATTTGCTAGCCCACAAGAGCGCTTGTTTCTTGTTCTGCTGTATGCTTTTCTGAGAAATTGTTTCGCAGGTTGGAGCAACCCCATTTATTTTTCCTATAAAAGTGCTTCAGTAATCAGGAATGGATAATGGAGCTACTGAACGTGAAATATTTGAGGAAAAATTGGAGAAAAAGCTGCAGGATCCTAATGCAGAACCAATGTATTTGCCACTGGAATTTTTGAAAGTCATCACAAGCGATTTTTCCACTGAACGAGAACTTGGCAGGGGTGCATATGGAGTAGTATACAAGGTATGACCATTCCTCTTCGACTCCAATTTTCAACCGATGACAACAGTAATAGATAATGAATGGTTCACCTACCTGCTATGAAGGGAGTTCTCCAGAGTGGCAAAGCTATTGCTGTAAAGAAGATTTTTGATGCACATCTGTTGGACAGCAATAATAAATTCGAGAATGAGATCACATGTCTTATGGGAGTCAGGCACCAAAATGTAGTACAACTTGTAGGTTACTGTGTCCAAACCAGGTTGGAAGTGATGAAGCTACCGAGTGGGGAACATGTTATGGTTGAAATACCTGCATGTTTGCTTTGTTTCGAATTTCATTGTAAGGGAAGCCTTGACAAACATGTGTCTGGTATGTTGAAATACAATACTACGTTCTTTCCTTTGCAAACTTTACTTGATTAGAACACACATGCAACTGTGCCATTATATCAATAGCCACACAATTCAATTATAATCAAGATACAAATATATCACCCATCCAAACAGAGGTGGTGGTTTTCATGGCACCATTACAGTATGTGCTATGCATATATTTTTTTTGTTCTATTTCTACAGATAACCTTTTGGTCCTTGGTTGGGATATGAGATATGAGATAATTAGGGGAGTTTGCAGAGGCTTGCATTATCTTCATGATTAATGTCATATTGTTCACCTGGACCTGAAACCTCAAAACATACTGATGGATACCATGATGATTCCGAAAATTGCGGATTTTGGTTTGTCAAGGCTTTTGGGTGAACAAAAATCCAAAACTGTCACTACAAACTTTGCTGGAACGCTGTAAGCTATGCCTCTTGCTATAGCTTCATTTTTTTTTACTATTTTCTACAGCTCATTATGCAAAATTCTTCTGCAGTGGATATATGGCACAAGAATACATAGACCACGGAATTATCTCCCCTAAGGCAGATATATTCAGTTTGGGTGTCATAATCATAGAGATAATCACAGGTCGCATGGACTATCCCAATATCGGCGGGAGAACTGAAACATCTCTCAAGCACTTCACAGAAGAAGTAAGATTATTCAGCATTATGCAACATAATTTTCCACCTTTGTTATGCATTTTTTTTTGATAAATTACTTATGCAAATGTTTAGGTGGTTGGAAGTTGGAGGAAAAGACTAGAACTAATACCCATGCATATGTCATCGGAAATGCATATCCAACAAGTGGAACAATGCATCTCTATAGCCCTGAAGTGCCTGGAACCTGACTCGAATAAAAGGCCTACTTCACTGGACATAGTTCAAAGTCTAAATGCAGAAGAAACAAAATCTAGGTCTCTTGAAAACTCCACTAGTGTTGCTGAGAATGTATGATCTCTAAATACATAGTGCGCTTCTCCAAACTTTATTTCTTAAGGGTGTCCAAATAAATATGGCTGCTTGAACAAAATAACCACTCAACAACAACAACAACAAAGCCGTTAAGTCCCAAACAAGTTGGGGTAGTCTAGAGTTGAAACCCAGCAGAAGCAATCAATGTTCAGGCACGTGAAAACAAAATAACCACTCATGCTTCATTTTTCTGATCTTAATTAGTGTACCTGTCATAGTTGTAATGTCAGTTATCTATTTCTATTGTTAGAAATTAGCCCTCAGAGCATCTCCAAGAGTACCCAATAAAGTCTCCTAATCCAGGATTTTTAGCAACATTGGAAAAAATCCTTCTCCAACAATTCTCAATCTCACCTCCCAATCTTTTGGCACTTGGAAAAAAACACTCCCATGCGCGTAAAGATCCGCGCTCTTCCCGTCGCGCGTATCCCTCCTAGCGCTAGTTTTTCCCAGGAGTCGACGTAGTCCCGCTCCGCGGCATCGTAGACTAGGCCCAGGTCGAGCGCCTGCTGCAGATGGACGAGGCCGGCACCAGCTGCCATCGGCGTCGTGCTGGCTCTGGGCCCACCACCTGTGCAGCCATTGTCTGCGATGGGCCTGCTGTGGCTGTCGAGCGTTGTCTGCGGCCGCTTTTTTGCCTTGAGTAATGGATGGGTGGAACCACGTGCAAGGCCTTGGGAGGAACCAAGGCCGGTGGACAGTCGTCGGAGCTGCGTGGAGATTGATCTTGGTTTGAGTTTGGTCATCTTCTCATCCTGACCTGGTTACAAAACGCAGATCATTCTTCTTCGTTATCGTTCTGATCTGCTTGCACGTGGTGCCGGGGCCGCGCCGACCTGCTCGCGGCGGCTGTACGCCACCGCTACGCGCTCGCCAACACGCAGGCAGGGCGAGAGGTGCGGGAGGAAGAGAGCATCCCGGAGCTGGAGGAGGACGACGCCGTCGTCAAGCAGGTGGCCGGTGAGTTCTCAGCGCCCCAGAGTGGCGCAACCGACGCAGCTCGCTCGGCGGCGTCAGCAGCAGCATTGCCGAACCAGCCAACCAAGTGCTGCCCGACGACGAGCAGATCGGGGAGATCTGGAGAATATGAAGTTTTGGTATCCAATTTTGGGGAATTGTTGGAGTTGCAACTTTTTTTTGTCTCCCAATATATCTTGTAAAGGTTGGAAAACCAGTTTTTTGGGAGTATTTTTTTGGGTACTCTTGGAGATGCTCTCACAGTGACAAGATATTCAGTAATCTCAATGCGTGGAAGTGTCGTTTGGATTTACCGAGATGAACATGCAAGATTGATCACATACGACACTAGAGGCTCGATATTTGTTGACGAGGTTTAACTGAAGCCTGCATCCTCAAGGCATGACTACGAGCACTCCTCCCAATGCAACATTAGTAGCTCTAGAATATCGGCAATACGCTGTCTCCCTTCTGCGAGCCAGTTGCTATGTCATCATAGTTACAACAATTGCCCAAAAACAAGGATACAAGAGTCCGACACCAACTCTACCCCATACTGCCAAATACAATTCAACAACAACAACAACAACAACAAAGCCTTTAAGTCCCAAACAAGTTGGGATAGGCTAGAGTTGAAACCCAGCAGAAGCAATCAAGGTTCAGGCACGTGAATAGCTATTTTCTAAGTATTCCTATCTAAGGCTAAGTCTTTAGGTATATTTCATCCTTTCAAGTCTCCTTTTATTGCCTCTACCCAAGTCAACTTCGGTCTTCCTCTGTCTCTATTCACGTTACTATCCTGGCTTAGGATTCCACTACGCACCGGTGCCTCTGAAGGTCTCCGTTGGATATGTCCAAACCATCTCAACCGTTGTTGGGCAAGCTTTTCTTCAATTGGTGCTACCCCTAATCTATCACGTATATCATCGTTCTGAACTCGATCCCTTCTTGTATGACCGCAAATCCAACGCAACATACGCATTTCCGCGACACTTATCTGTTGAACATGTCGTCTTTTTGTAGGCCAACATTCTGCACCATACAACATAGCAGGTCTAATCGCTGTCCTATAAAACTTGCCTTTTAGCTTCTGTGGTACCCTTTTATTACATAGGACACCAGATGTTTGGCGCCACTTCATCCACCCTGCTTTGATTCTATGGCTAACATCTTCATCAATATCCCCGTCTTTCTGTAGCATTGATCCTAAATATCGAAAGGTATCCTTTCTAGGCACTATTTGACCTTCCAAACTAATATGTTCCTCCTCCCAAGTAGTAGTGCCGAAGTCACATCTCATATACTCAGTTTTAGTTCTACTGAGTCTAAAACCTTTGGACTCCAAAGTCTCCCGCCATAACTCCAGTTTCTGATTCACTCCTGTCTGGCTTTCATCAACTAGCACTACATCGTCCGCAAAAAGCATACACTAAGGGATGTCCCCTTGTATGTCCCTTGTGACCTCATCCAACACTAAGGCAAACAGATAAGGGCTCAAAGCTGACCCTTGATGTAGTCCTATCCTAATGGGGAAGTCATCCGTGTCTCCATCACTTGTTCGAACACTATTAAGAGTTTTAGGAAGAGTTTAAAAAATAATTTACATTGTCTTGTGAATTGTTGGAAGCTGTTGGGACAAACTTGACATTCTTTGTTAAGTATATGCAGTCTGATCGTGGAGCAACAGTAGTATTCAACAAAGATGATTCCAGCATTACATGCTCTTGCCGGATGTTTGAATCCATAGGTATGTAATACTATTACATTTCAATCTTTAATTGTAGCCTATAATTTAAGTTGTTCAAATTGGCAACTATATCTTACAGGTATATTGTGCAAGCATGCTCTTAGAGTCTTCAATACGAATGGAGTATACAATTTGCCATCGCAATATATACTGCCTAGATGGACAAAATATGCGAAAAGTGGATTTTATATTGAGAAACAAGGAACTGAGAAGGAAGATTTGAAAACACAGGCAATGGTTATATCTCGAGAGGCGACATCTCTTGCAATGAAGTGCTTGCCGTCAAAAGAACTTCTTGATAAATTGTAGAAAGCCATACATAACTTGAACTTTGAAGCAGATACTTATCTAAGTGAGTTGCATGAAAAATCCAACGAGGTTCCTCCAACTCCAAATGAATGCGTCCGACAACCATTAAATGGTGTAATATCGTTTAAAATTCCTTAGGTAATAAAAGGTCCAAAGAATACACGTTTCAAAAATGTTGTTGAAAAGAAGCCAGGGAAGAAGAAGGGTGCTCAGAAGAAAGGTAGTGATCTGTCCACTACCATTTGCTTATGTCTACAATTTATTTTAAGTCTTCTATTATCTTATATATTTCATTGTAGGTGAAGATCTAATTAATGATGTAGAAAAAAGAGATGAACATGCTGATCCAAAGCAAACGACTGCAAGACATTAGCTATTTTCACAATTTATTCCCTTACAAGTATGATTTATGAACACTTTCTTATGCTATGACACAGGATTCTAATGTTGGGCCATCTTCAGCCATGGCTGCTCCTTTCGTGCAAGTTGGATATGCTAATTCCACAATGCCAATCATGGCGGCTCCTTTCATGCAAGGTGGATATGCTAATTCCACAATGCCAATCATGGCTGCTCCTTCCACAATGCCACACTTGAATTCAATTGCAAATCCTTCTAGAATGGCTACTCCTTACATACCAGGAGGATACACAAGTCTCCTATTTGGAGTTGATCAAGATGCCACAATGCAAACTGCTGTTAGGAAGTTACATTTTGATGGAGTGCAAAGTCATGAATATGTAACTGTACTGTTTGGATATAGTGAAATGAAACATGTTCAGTACATTTGCTTTACTCTGAATAAAAACCTGTTCAGTCTTACATAGTTCACAGTTCTCTAAAGTTCTACAATTTTTGTAACATATCCATACAGCTTACGGTGACATGAAGTTCTTATCTCCTCTCTATGTTTACATCTTTGGCAACCATCCTGGTTACATTCAAGCACAAGACACAAGTCTTATCTTTTCGAGCTAGATATCTTCAGTCTTCAGATGCCTGTAGCAAAAAAAAAATTATCTTGTCCACCATCCTGTCTTCTGGTGGCCTCACTGCTTTTTTTGGTAGGGCGGTTCTCATTTTCTTTTGCACAAGAGGATGGTGGTCTTACACAGAACATCACAATGCAAGATACAATGTAGGATGGTGCCTGTTCTTCTCATCTTCTGTGCAGCCTACACCTTGCAACAACAATCCAAACAAATGTTTCAGCCTCGTCAGAACTCAGGACACTAAATAATAAGTTGGATAAAGCAGCACGTAGTGGTATTATAGATTTGTGCTCATCAGACATGCTATAATCATCGGCCCCATCGTAGCTTACTTCGACCTACAAGCTGCTACAAGGATCAGCCAAATCAGAATTTAGCACATCCATACTTGTGCCAAGATTTGAATTTTGACCTTATTTCGTTACCCGTCTATGAATGGGGCGGCACCTCTGTTCGTGGTGGCGTTCTTCCGAGCGGACACCAGGTCGGTGCGCCTGCTCATGGGCATTCGACGACCTGCTGATGTGTTGCACGGCGGCGAAACCACTGCTGTCGCCGCCGCCTTCGCCTCCTCCTTCGATGAGATGCGCACAGTCTCCACAGCGGCAGGGCAGGTCAGTGCTGCACGGCGATGGATGATCTGCTGCTGCTTGGCGCGGCCGCAAGCCCGCCGCCGTGGGCCGCCGCCTCCGTCTCTGAGCTTCCGGTAGCCTGTACTCGAGGAGTCGAGGAGAAGCGCACTCACGCCTGAGCCGAGGAGCCACGGTGGAGCCTTGTGTGTGTACGCGAGGAGCCGAGCCTAGGGGAGCTGGCAACGCGCCTCGCGTGCTGGCCTTTTGATTACGACCGGTGACACGCGGTGAGCATCAACGAAGGGAGCGCACGCGAGATGCAGTACGCCCATGGTGCACCCAATTTTTTTCGACGCTGCCAGCGGGCGTGACCAGGGACCACCCATTCGCAAACCCGTTCGCGCC